CCGCGGCCGGCGGCGGCGCCGCCGCGGACCCGTCGAGGGGCGTCGGGTACTCGGCGTTCTTGTGGACCTTGCCCTCGGCGACGAGGGCCTTCTTCTTCGTCGCCATGGGCCCGAGGCCCCACTTGCGCGGGTACGTGTCGCGCTCCATGATGACGCGCTTGATGCGCGCGACGGCGCCGTGGTCGCAGTCGGCCATGACGGACGTCGTCATCATGGCGATGCCCACGGCGATGGCCTCGCCCTTGGTCGTCATGAGCACGACCTCCTCGTTGACGTCGACGTCGTCGGCGAAGCGCAGCAGGCCCGGCATCATGAGCTTGGCGCCGTAGCAGATCGCGTTGACGGCGCTGTCCTTCACGACGAGGCGCTTGAAGGACGTGAGGAGGACCTCGAGGGGCATGACGACGCGGCGCAGGTAGGACTCGTCCTTCGTCGCGTCGTAGTGGTGCTGCGCGTCGAGCACGTCGTGCATCGTCACGAGGTGCGCGTTCTCGTCGAGCGCGCCGGACCGGACGCGCCGGAGCTCCTGCATGTGGCCGCCGACGCCCACGAGCAGGCCGAGGTGGACGCAGAGCGTGCGGATGTAGGTGCCCGCCTCGCACTTGACGTGGAAGACGGCGAGGTGGCGCTCCGCGTCGTATTCGAGCAGGCTCGACGCGTAGACGGTGCGGATGCGGAGCTGGCGCTTCACCGCGGAGATGAGCGGCGGCCGCTGGAAGAGGGCGCCCGTGAGCGTCTCGACGGCGCGCTTGAGCTTGGCCTTGTCGCAGGGCCCGTGGAGCCGGAGCACCTGTGTGGAAATCAACCACTGGTTTGGGGGGTCCCCACCAAACTTCAGAACGCTCTATCTCAATCAAATCGAAGTCGATTCGGCTGATTTTTGGACGAATCGATCGCTCTCGTCGAGTTCTCGAAGCACAGCGAAAGAGTCTGGTCCAAATCGTTCGGTTACGCGCACATTGAAGTCGGGTTGAAGATTTGATTTCCACACAGCGGAGCACGGCGACGTACTCCTTGCCCGCGGACTGCTGGCTCTTGACGAGGCGCGTCGCGCGGTCGACGCAGACGATGAGGCAGCCCGTGACCTTGGGGTCGAGCGTGCCGCTGTGGCCCGTCTTCTCCACGCGCAGGATGCGCTTGATCCACGCCACGACCTCGTGGCTGCTCGGGTTCGCCGGCTTGTCGAGGTTGATGCACCCGTAGCGCAGGTACTCGGCGAGCGGCCGCTTCAGCGGCGAGCAGCCGGACGGGATGGGCGTGTAGTGCGCCGTGCGCACGTTCAGCTTGTCGTAGTCCTTGAGCAGCAGGGGCCACTTCGACGTGTCGAGCTTGGGCGTCACGCTGCTCGGCGCGATGGCGTCGCCGGCGGCGTCGCCGCCGTCGCCGTTCGCCTCCTTCTTCGACTTCTTCGACTTGTCCTTCGGCATCGCGGGGCCGCGGGGGCCGCTCGGGGGCCGCGGGGACCGCAGTGGCTGCGCAACTTCCGACGCCGCGACGGCCAGACGCTCTCCTAGCTCGCTCAAGTCGTCGAGCCGCGGCACGGCACCACGACCGCCGATCTTCGTGTTGCACAGCACGGCAGCCCTGCTAATCAAGCACGTCTAAAGCAGCCACTGCGGTCTGGTGGCGTCGGCGCAGCCCGCCAGGAGGAGGGCTGATGGGCGGGCCCAAGTACGAGCGCATCTCGTCCGGGGAGGACGAGCGGGCGCCCGCATGGACGACGAAGCGCGCCGTCGTCGCGCTCGCGGCGTGCTCGGCCTTCGCGGCGTACACGGCGCCCCACGCGACCAAGGTCGCGGCGGTCCAGTCCCTCTACAAGGTCGGCCACGCCCTCGAGAGTAGCGCCGCGGCGCCGGAGGGGACGCTGCTCGCCGCGGACGTGGCGGCCGTCGAGGACTGCGCCGCCTGCGAATGCGACGAGCTCGAGTCGCTCGGCGTCCTCGCCGCCGACGCCGGCGGCGCGACGGAGTCGCCGACGGCGATGGACTACTGGGAGCTGTTCTGGACCGACGGCGAGTTCGGGTCCGAGCTCGACGACTCCTACGTCTGGTGGACGAACGAGGAGCTCGAGGGCGTCCGCGCGAACGTCCTCGTCGACACGTTCGGCGACTCGCGCGGCATCGACATCGACAGCAACTCGACGTCCATCTTCTTCACGGTCGACGGCTGCATCGGCCGCGTCGAGCCCGACGGCCTCGACCTCAAGGAGGTCTTCTGCTACGACGTCGACGACGACCCGGGCTCCCAGATGGAGGGCCTCGCGCTCTACGAGTACGACAACAAGATGTACTGGGTCGACAAGAAGCGGAACACGCTCTACGGCGCGGAGCTCGAGGGCAACGACGGCGACTACTGGGTCGTCTCCGAGGGCTTCGACGAGCCCATCGACGTCGCCGTCGACGAGCGCGCCGCGGCGCTCTACGTCGTCGACAGCACGGGCATCTACAAGATGGACCAGGACGGCTCGGACCTCACGCTGGTCCTCTCCGAGGCCGACGCGGGCCTCGCGAACTTCGGCGGCCTGGACGTCGACGCGACGAACCGCCAGCTCTTCTTCGCCGCGGCGAACCAGATCTACGTCGCGGACATCTTCGACCCCGCGGCGTCCTACGCGGC